AGCCTATTGGCCGCACGTCCTCTTTCTTTTTTCCCATTTTCGCGTCTTTTTTTTTTTTTTTAACTTTTTTTCTTTCTTTTTCCTCCCTCGTCCAAAGGGTCAATGACTTTAACGAAGTTGCTAAATCAAGACAATTTTTTCACCGCGGAGCCGCGTGGGGAGGAGAGCGCATACTGCGGGTTCATTCATTCTGCCGTGCATCAGGTGGCAGTTTCAATGTCCATTCGTTCCCAGTTCCTTGAATGACCAGGCTATCTAGATAGGGCGCCCCATACTTAGGAGAGTACACGGTCCCCGACCTCGAGGGAATTACAGTTTAAGACCATCTGGCACGTGTACACTGATCATTTGGTGACGTAGTCATGCAGCCCACTCTGGACGAGGAACGCCCACGGCGGCCTGCAACGTGTTAAACAGGGCGGGGGGGGGCGGGGGGAAGAGGGAGATGTCCCAACTGAAAAGTATGGCAAAGGGCAGAATCTCCATGGAAGCCGAGACTGCTAGAGTTCTGGGTACTCCTTCAACGTATGTCCACATAATTAGAATGGCTGATCCTACCCCAAAACAGGACTCGATGTAAAAAGCAGCCCTCATTGAGCTCATAGGTGTCCTCTGAGGAAAAAAAAAAAAGGACTTGAACTTTACCTTTCTATCTTGTCTTAAAATCAGGACCATCTGACATGTTCCCAACATCCCCCACTAAATGGAAAGGCTTTTGGCCACCCCAGGTCTGGTGCAGATACCACTTTAATCAAACTTAGGAAGCTGAACCAGTCCATGTTTTTCTTTTCGAAATTTAAGTTCTTCTAGGCTACAAGAAAATTAATGTGACTTGACAAATACCTTCATAGACACAAGTAAACACTTCATTGTGAAAACTTACTTTATATGACGATATGGCTACTGCTATGATGCTATAAAAATTGTGTAGGAATGTTAAGCCATTGCAGTACTGAAAAAAAAAATTAAGGCTTTTGCCAGAGTACTTGCGGAAAAAGACAGAAACGGTAAGAGGAAAAATGAGAATTCATTTCTGCGTGGGGATGGCCACACTGCAATCCCTTCTGCTTCATTCTCCTCCTGGGAATTTGGGCACACACTCACATGCCCCAGTATGATTTTCAAGCAGTCGGGACTCGAACCATGGTGGGCCATGTGGGAATCCAGCACTGCAACCACTATGGCACCTGCTGACCACACAGTACTGAAAACTTATGACTCCTTTCCCCACTCTTGGAAGATTTTAAGGTGTGAAGTTCTGCTTACATCCAACTTCAAGAATGGTTGGATTCGAAGACTCACACTGAAAATTTTGTTCTAAATTCTTTTCTTATATTCTCAATGTGATGAAAATGTTTGTGTAGGCTTAGGAAGTTTGGGACTGTGTTGAAGAAACACAGCTTGGAAGAATGAAAAAAAAAGTCATTTTGCAGTGATATCACAAGGAGATAGTGGCAGCTGTGACAAGGAATAGGAGGGAACATCAGAAAGTGTTACAGCATGGGGTGACCTGGTTGTCTTCCTGCCGCTCTGTGACCACTAAATTTGAATGTGTATATTCATCCTCATTCCTTACCCAGGGACAAAACCTGTCTTAGACCAGGATAAACAATTTGTGGTTTCAGTTTTAAGACTTTTTTTTTTTTTTTAAGAGAGAGAGAGATTATTGCTATAGGCACTCACCAGAGAGACTGAGCAAGATAGACAAAAAAAAAAAAGAAAGAAAGAAAGAAATCGCCCTGTCCCTCAGCGGGGATGGCTACACTACAATCCCTTTTCCTCCATTCTCCTTTTGGGATCTTGGGCACGCATGCATGCATGCCCAGGTTCAATTTGAAGCCGTTGGGTCCCGGACTCAAACCACTGTCAACTATGTGGGAGTCCAGCAACATAACCATTATGCTATCTGCTGGTCCTCGAAATGACTTACTGGTCTTACAGCTAGCTGGGAGTCATGCCTTCAGATTCTATTCCAAAGCCTTTTCCACCTCACCACCTGTACTTTTTCCCTTTGGCGCTACTCTGAAATGCAGTTCTCTGTTTACTGGTTCTGCCTTCTCCTGCCTTATACAAACGATCTAGAGTAAGCAGTGTATTAACTCACTGTGAAGTTCCAGCAGCAGTGGAGTAAACTGATCACAAATATCTTACGGAATAGGCTTCTCCCTGCCCCAAATGTCTGCCCCCTAATTGACAAACACTTGACCTTACTCTTGTGGTCGTTCACTGAGGGTTGGCCTGGAGTCCAGCCTTCCTTGGTCTGGTCTGGCCTGTTGTCCCCTAAGCCACCTCTGACGTTCCACATGTAATTGACATGGTCACCCCAGTAACTGAAATGTGAAGTCACAGGAAT